CAGATGTGTCAGATCTGCCTCTAGTTTGCTTTGAATCTACCCTCTCCTCTGCCACTGCCCTGGCTCAACCCTCAGCACCACTTGTGTGGATTCCCTGTCAGTGGAGGGGACAACTAAAGAATTCTTTTTTTTTTCTCCTTATAGATATAATCTTGCTCTGTTGCCCTGGCTTGAGTGTAATGGCATTACCATGGCTCACTGCAGCCTTGGCTCACTGGGCTTAAGGGATCCTCCTACCTCAGCCTCCCAAGTAGCTGGGACTACAGGCCCACACCACGAGCCCAGCTAATTTTTATTTTCTTATTTATTTTATTTATTTATTTTTTTTTTGAGGTGTAGTCTCACTCTGTCGCCCAGGCTGGAGTGTAGTGGCGTGATCTTGGCTCACTGCAACCTCCACCTCCTGAGTTCAAGCAATTCTCCTGCCTCAGCCTCCTGAGCAGCTGGGACTATCGGCGTGCACCACCATGCCTAACTAATTTTTGTATTTTTGGTAGAGACAGGATTTCGCCACGTTGCCCAGGCTGATCTCAAGCCCCTGACCTCCAGTGATGCACCCACCTCAGCCTCCCAAAGTGCTGGTATTACAGGGATGAATCACCGCACCCAGCTGCCCAGCTAATTTTTAAATTTTTGTAGAGAGGCTAGTCTCGAACTCCTGGCCTCAAGCAGCCCGCCTACTCTCTACCTCTGAAAGTGCTGGGATTACAGGTGTGAGCCACTGTGCCCAGCCACACATCTAAAGAATTCTTAAGGCCAGGCGCAGTGGCTCACACCTGTAATCCCAGCACTTTGGGAGGCTGAAGCGGATGGATCATGAGGTCAGGAGATCGAGACCATCCTAGCCAACATGGTGAAACCCCATCTCCACTAAAAATAGAGAAATTAGCTGGGCGTGGTGGATTGCACCTGTAGTCCCAGCTACTCAGGAGGTTGAGGCAGGAGAATCGTTTGAACCCAGGAGGCGGAAGTTGCAGTGAGCCGAGATTGCGCCACTGCCCTTTAGCCTGGCAACCAAATGAGACTCCATCTAAAAAAAAAAAAAAAAAAAAATTAAAAAGCAAACATAGGGCCATGTGCAGTGGCGTATGCTTGTAATCCCAGCACTTTGGGAGGCCAAGGCGGATGGATCACATGAGGCCAGAAGTTCAAGACCGGCCTGGTCAACATGGTGAAATCCTGTCTCTACTAAAAATACAAAAATTAGCTGGGCATGATGGCGCATGCCTGTAGTCCCACTACATGGGTTGCTGAAGCAAGAGAATTGCTCGAGCCCAGGAGGCCAAGGTTGCAGTGAGCCGAGATCATGCCACTGTACTGCAGCTGACACAGCAGAACACAGCCCTGTCTCAAAAAACAAGAAATTAAAAAGCAAATGTATATACAGAGAGGAACATTTTTCATGGTAAAATGTTTGTTTTTAAAATCTAGATCCTAAAAAGTCTTCATTGTCGTGTTTTAACTCCTCTGAGTTGAAGTTTCTCGAAATGAAAGGTGTGGGAACAGGGTCTCTGCAGCTGCAGTGTGTAAGACAGGGTACAGTGTGGGGGCTGGAGGGAGCGAGGTGGTAGGGAAGTCAGGAGCTGCTGCTTTAAGGCAGAACTCTTCTTGGCACTGGTCTGCCAGCCTCCTTTCCCCTGGCCCGTGCTTCCGAATGCTGTGCTGTTTGCACACTCGTGTCTTTGGAGGTTACTGGTTCTTAGAATCTCCTTTCTTCCATGGGTATCCACCTGACCATCTGCTCCTCTTCTTTCCAGTCTTCCCCTCAACAAGTACTTCTTTAGAGCTGGTCCCCAGGCTGCTCTTTCTGGCTCTGTCATCCAGGCTGAAATGCAGTGAAGTGATCTTGGCTCACTGCAGCCTCCGCCCCCCCTAGTTCAAGTGATTCTCCTGCCTCAGCCCCCAGAGTAGCTGGGACTACAGGTACCCAACACCACAGCTGGACAATTTTTAAAAATTTTTTAGTAGACACAGGATTTCACCATGTTGCCCAGGCTGGTCTTGAACTCCTGACCTCAGATGATCTGCCCGCATTAGCCTGCCAAAGTGCTGGGATTACAGGCATGAGCCGCGGTACCTGGCTGACACTTAGATCTTTTTTGAAAACTTGCCAGCGTTGCACTCCACACAGGATGAAGTTGCCCTCGCCTCGCCCTCTGGTTGTATCTTGCCATTCTCCTGCACGCCCTTCTACCTTGCTAAACAACTTGCCGTTCCAGAAATACGCCATTCAGTGTCCTGGCACCATGCCTCTGTACATGTTGTTCCCCTGGACTGGAATTAGCACCTGCCTTGTCCACCTGTCTTGCTTGCCCTCTGAAACAGAGCCAGAATGTCCCTCTTGGAGTCCCTCCTGTGCCTCGCAGGCCAAGCTGATGGTGGGTTCATTTGAGCTCCCGAAGCGTATGTCTAGGTTTACAGTGTCCGTGGCCACTCTGGCTGTTTACCAGTAGGTTTTTTTCTGTGAAACTGAACAGGCTTGGCGTCTGTTTCATCTTTGTATCCATAGAGCCCAGCACAGAATGCTGACTCCATCTCAAGTCTAGTGTTTTGTATAGTGCGCCCTTCCTTACCCTCTGAAAAGTGCCCCCTGACATCTTGGCGATTGTCACTGTCAGTTAAGAACCCAAGCCAGATCTTCCACTCTGGCAGCCATTGGCATAGCTGCAACTGGAATGACTAGACGGGCTGGGCATATTAGGCAGCTTTAGTCACCTGGCACTCAGAGATCTCAGTGTGACGGTTGGAGGTGATACTGGACCAGCTTGTTTTTCATTTGTCAAGATGGTTGCTGCCCAAGTTCATAAGGACATGCCACTCAGAGGTTCTCGTTTGTGCGCTGTGTTGATTGTTTTAGTCTCACCCCGTGCTCTGCATTTTTAGATTACAAATCATTTGTATATCCCTTGCCTCATTGTACCCATCCTAAGGGGAATCCCTTTGGTATTATCTGTTTGATTTAGAGGCAGGCCTTGCTCTGTTGCCCAGGCTAGAGTGCGGTGCATGATCACAGCTCACTGCACCATTGAACTTGCAGGCTCCAGCGATCCTCCTGCCTCAGGCTCCTAAGCACCTAGGACCACAGGCACGAGCCACCATGCCCAGCTACTTTTTTTTTTTTTTTTTAATAGAGACAGGGTTTTGCTATGCTGCCCAGGCTGACTTTGGTATTACTGAAATATGAAATAAATGCTCAGTTGGGGAGATTTCTGTTTCAAAGGCATCCTTTATTGGTGAAAATATTACCTAACTGTAAATATATATAATATTTGTTTGCCTCTGTATTTCTGGAAGGATATACTTAAAACTGTTAGTAGTCATTGCCTTGTATTTCTTATTTTAATGAAGCTGCCTAGTCAATATTTTTAGAAACTGTTGTTATATCCTTTTCTTAATTGTTCATAATTGTCATTCCTAAGCTTTTACAATTTATTTAACAGAAAAATTGTGGACACAATTTCTGCTTAATGAACTTAAAATGTAAAATAAACATGGGGAATTGGCCGGGTGTGGTGGCTCACACCAATCCCAGCACTTTGGGATGCTGAGGCGGGTGGATCACCTAAGGTCAGGCGTTCAAGACCAGGCTGGCCAACATGATGAAAACCCACCTCTACTAAAAATACAAAAATTAGCTGGGCACGGTGGCATGCGCCAGTAGTCCCAACTGCTCAGGAGGCTGAGGCAGGAGGACAATCACTTGAACCTGGGAGGTGGAGGTTGCAGGGAGCCAAGATCATGCCACTGCACTCTAGCCTGGGCGACAAAGTGAGACTCTATCTCAAATGTGTGTGTGTGTGTGTGTGTGTGTGTGTGTGTGTGTGTGTGTGTGTGTGTAGGTGTAGAAGTTGTTCAGACAGTCCAGAAGGTTATACAGAAAAGAAAAAAATCTTTACTCCGACCCCAGGCCCTGTCATGTCCCCCAGATGTAATCACTCTTTTTTTTTTTTAATCCTCTGCACCTTCATGAAAGTAATCACTCTTGGCCGGGCGTGGTGGCTCACGCTTGGCCTGTAATCCTAGCACTTTGGGAGGCTGAGGTGGGTGGATCACCTGAGGTCAGGAGTTCAAGACCAGCCTGGCCATCATGGTGAAACCCCATCTTTAAAAAAAAAAACAAAAAAGAAAAGTAATCACTCTTTAACAGCTCACTTTGCAGGTGTATGTATAGTGCTGTTCTGTGCCTGGTTTTTTGCATGTCTTGGAAATGTCAGCACATCAGTATATGTAGATGTACTTCATTGTTTTATTGAGTGCATATTTTCTGACTGGCATATTTCCTGATTCTTTTGACCAGTCTGCGTGAAGGCTATTGAAAAGGCCTGTGCCAGGAAAGAGCTGGAAACAAGACCGCAGTGAATGTTGACATGCGTTCAGCTTTGGCTGAATGTAGCTGTGGCTGTAGCACACAAGCACAAGTGTCATTGGGCCACAGTCATACACGATTTCCACTCTGACATGGATGATGCCACGCTGCCCTCTAGGGAGGTCAACAAACTTGTATTCCTGTTAGTTGGTGTATGGGAATTAAACTTGCACATAGAAATTTGTGAGTAGGGCTGGTGGCAGTGGCTTATACCTGTAATCCCAGCACTTTGAGAGGCTGAAGTGGGAGCATTGCTTGAGGCCAGGAGTTTGAGACCAGCTTGGGCAACATAGCAAGACCCTACCCCTACAAAAATTTTTTTTTAAAATTAACCACACAAGATGACACATGCCTCTAGTCCCAGCTTCTCAGGAGGCTGAGATGGGAGGATCACTTGATCCCAGGAATTTGAGGCTACAGTGAGCTACGGTGAGCTGTTGCACCACGACACTTCAGCCTGGGTGACAGGGCAAGACCCAATCTCAAAGAAATGAAAAAATTCATGAATAAAGTACAGTTTGTGACTTCAGTCAAATTTATCCTCACTTTCTGACAGCATTCATGGTAGAAATTTAATTATAAGATGAAAATTAGTAAATCATGTGTTAATAAAGTTGGCATTGTTATTCTGTAGGACATGGACATCTTCCAGCCACAGATCTCGAGAAGACAGCTGGCTTCAATCCTTATTTGTCCGGAAAGTTGATCCAAGAAAAGATGCTCACTCCAATCTCCTAGCCAAAAAGGAAACAAGCAGTCTCTACAAATTACAGTGTGAGTGACAGGTTTGCTATCTTCATAGTTGCCTCTCTTTTCCCGTTTGTTCCTAAGTTTATCGTTGAATTTTCTTTTGTTTCAGTTCACAATGTTAAACCGGAATGCCTAGAAGCATACAACAAAATTTGGTGTGTATACCAAACTATCCTTTACTTGGGGAAAAATAATGATGTTATTTGTTAGTTAATTCCACTAACACTTGATAGCATAGAGAGAGATCTTTCATCCCTCTCCTTTGAACCTGAACGTTCAGGGCCTCTTAAACTGAGCTTTGTATAAGATTGCCAAAGGCATTTTGATTTTAAGCACTCACATAGCTAAATCATCACATAGAATGTCACCAGACTCTTAGGTTTGGAGGAACTTTGCAAGGATGTCTAACCCATCTGCTTATCCAATGCTGGAGTCCTTTCGGCAGACCTTCCTGACTGCCTGTCGTGAAGTAAGTTCCATATCTGGACAGCTCTGATTGCTAGGAATAAGAATTTACATCTCTGAATCCTTCATTGATTCCCCTAAGTGAAACTGCCCCGTGAGAGTCCTGTGTATATTTGAACATAGCTGCCATTTCTTCCCAACTCCTCTGTTCTCGGGGATCCAAGTCTCTTCCGCTGATTCTCCTGTGATTTGAGATCCAAGCCTTCTTACAGAATTTGTGAACTTTAAGACGAAAGGGAGAGCTAAGCTTATTGGCTCTCAAAAGAGATGGCATTTTAATGATCCATTGTGAGCAAATGTTAAGAAAAAGTTGGTTGTTTTTTTTTTTACCTTTAATATCTACTACTTTGATAAGAAAGCAATTTTGTCCCTATAATCAGCATACTTTTTAGAAGAAAAATCTTTTGTTATGTTTTATTTTTGAAGATAGTTTATGAAATGTAATACTAGCATTGAATTTCTTGCTCATTTCAGCACATTTCTCTTTATTTAAAAATGCCCTAAAACAAAGCAGATATTTATTTCTAAGTCTTTTCTCATAAAATGGAGTTTTTCCCTATACGGATGTTTTCCTGGATTACCTTTTCTGTCCTGTCTTATCACTTCATCTCCTGTCTCGGATTTCTGGCTGTCTGTTCATATTTCTATTTGATGTCGTGTTCTCACTTCAAACTCGGCATGTAGAATCACCTTGCTATTCCAACTTCCATGTCTGCGCGGCTCACCTTGTTTTACTTAGCCCGTTCCTTAGTTCTCTGTGATGAGTCTGTCACCCAGATCCATGCATTCTTCATCGGACATGTATTTTCGTTCTCGTTTCCTCCTCTGTCTCGCTCTCCAAGCCTCTTGAGCCCCATTCCCAAGTAGCCTTTTTACTACCTTTCTGGGCTCCAGGCTATACCTGTGTCTCCTCCCTGCCCTGTGATACATTACTCCAGAGTTTGTCAGATTGATCTGCTTGAGTTCTGTTTTCTTTTTTCATCACGTTTTTTCTTTTCTCTGAAACTTTCAGCAGCTCCCTGTTTCCAGAACATAAAGACTTAATTCCTGCCTGGTTTTTAGGGGTCCCAGTAATGGGATTCTGCCCAACCCATCCAGTTCTGGGTACAAGTACTGCCTGCCTTACAACCTCCATTCAGGTAAGGCCAGGGCTCCCAAGAGCAGGTTTGGGGTCCCCAGCAAAGAGGAGTGGCTACAAATCCATGTGTGACTTTGTGTTGATGAAGAACCTAGGTCCTGTCTCCAGGCCCCTCTCTGGATCCCACCTGGGACATGGGTACTGGGCGTCCTTCCTGGGCTGCCTCCAATGCAGGGTCGTTTATTCCTGCTCATGTCATGCGACCAAAAGGAAATGTTTGACATTTTCCTAGCATAATTCCTCTTTCTCTGTCCTCCGTTCTCATGCATCCCATGTTACTCTGAACGGTCATGAGTACACATCAGATACATTTAATATCAGATCCGAATTTAAAAAGTAAATGCTACTCTTCCTAAAGTACACAGGATGTGGTCACTATACTGGGTCATAAAGGTGTATGGGTTTTCAGTTAGTTAAACATGGGCCGTTTGGAACTTTTCTCTGTTTGTCATTTAGACATCCCTGGTCCTCCGGAGCTCCAGTGGCACAATTGGTTAGTGCATGGTACTTAAATACCCCGCTCCTGTAGCCCAGCATCTGGTGGTAATCACTAGCTAAGTATCACTCAGTGTCAGCAAGTAATGTGAACAGGTTCCACTTCTTGCCCTTGATCCCCTTTTGCATCCATTGTTGAATCTGTGTGATACTTTTTCATCATAATTTTTCTATTCAAAAAGTGTACAGGCTTTAGCTTTTCTCATGGTATAAAACAGTTGCACTCTTCCCTTTGCCTTTCCCTGTATGTTAGAATCTAGACCATAGGAAGGCATGGAACCAGGCTGCCCTCTGACACCCCTGTTAAATTCATACACTGCCGTGACCTGACATGGCTTTGCCCCCATCCCTGCACAATGAGTGGGAATGAATTGGTTGGTTTGTTTGATATAAGACTACGTGACACTTCTCACATCCCCTCCGCCCATTGAATTGAGTAGAACGTAATTTATGCGTCACGTTGTATCTTTAATTTTGATTATTCTGCCACGTTGATGCCCTTGGGGACTATTGGAGGTTGGGGTCGCTTCCAGAATATGTTGTGTTCCAGCTCTGTCTTCTTCCTCCTTCCTGAAGGCCAGCTTGTTCTCTGCTTCTGTTTCCTCTGCCTGCTGGTGTTGCTTGTGTTGTCTGCCTGTCTTGAACATGACTTTCTTCCCTTCCATCTTCCTTATTTCTTCTGCGTTCTTTTCTGCTCTTCCCTTGTCTCTCATTCTTCCTGTCGTTGGAACCAACAGAACGTTTTTTGGTGGTATTTGTTTTTCCCTCAAATGGAAAATAGTAGACTCCCGAAATCCTGGAACCTTTGGTTTCTCTGTACCATCTTTATACTGGTTCAACAGCTCTTCTAGATAGTTGGGGTATCAGAAACCTAAGCTTCTGAACAGCAGGGTGTTGGAGTTCAACAGAATTCATCCAGAAGGTTAATTCCACGTGTCGTTTTATCATAAGGATATTGTAAGGTCAGTTGTTAGAATACTAGTAGGTAGCCTTTTTCCTGTTACTGATCAGGTGCTGTCCACCTGGTCAAATTTTGCTGGTTGTTTAATTAGTGTTGCTGTTTCTTCTCTTTAAGTCAAGAGGTGTTGCCAAAGATTCACGAAGATAAATACTACCCTTGTACTTTGGTGGGGACTTGGAACACGTGGTATGGCGAGCAGGACCAAGCTGGTAGGAAGCGAAGTCTTTGGAATAAACACTTCTTCCTTAAGCCTTATGTAACACTTAAGTAATTTTCTAATTTAATGCTTGTTCTTATCAAAGCTTTCCAAGTCTCAGTCTAATTTTATGATTAAAGTAGTTTCTTCAACAATTCATGCAAAAAAAAATAAACCTTTTAAAATAGCTTTCAATGTTTGAATCTATTACTGAAACTTTATGATGTAACTTATAGGCCAACACGTGGCGCATTACAGTTGTTCTGTTTTTTGAGACAGAGACTCACTCTGTCACCCAGGCTGGAGTGCATGGTATCTCGGCTCACTCCAACCTCCGCCTCCTGGGTTCCAGTGATTCTCCTGCCTCGGCCTCCCAAGTAGCTGGGATTACAGGCGCATGCCACCACACCCAGCTAATTTTTGTATTTTTAGTAGAGATGGGGTTTCACCATGTTGGCCAGTCTGGTCTGGAACTCCTGACCTCAAGTGATCCTCCTGCATCAGCCCCCCACAGTGCTGGGATTACAGGCTCAAGCCACCACACCCAGTCTACAGTTTTGTGTTGTGATAACATTACACCTATCTAGAACATTTTCAAATAGTAATATCATGAAATTCTGAATGTATATTATTTTTTTAAATTCATTTCAGTCCACCTCTGGAGGTATGAAGGAGGCTATCCAGCCCTCACAGAAGTCATGAATAAACTCAGAGAAAATAAGGTAATGGTTTTGAAAAACGTTTACTTAGACTAATGATATATAGATGTTAGTACAGAATTAAATGACTTTTCTGTGTCTTCAGCTTTTGTTAATAAACTTCATTTTTGTCACAAATTTTATTGTTTAGACTCCTGAAGTTGTATTTAAACATAAACAGTTGTAATACTGTTAAAATAATAGTTCTTATTGTAAAAGTCAATTGTAGGCCGGGCGCGGCGGCTCACGCCTGTGATCCCAGGACTTTAGGAAGCCGAGGCGAGTGGATCATGAGGTCAGGAGATTTAGACCATCCTGGCAATGGTGAAATCCTGTCTCTGCTAAAATAAAAAAAATTAGCCGGGCATGGTGGTGTGTGCCTGTAATCCCAGCTACTCAGGAGGCTGATGCAGGGGAATAGCTTGAACCTGGGAAGCGGAGGTTGCAGTGAGCTGAGATCGTGCCACTGCGCTCCAACCTGGCGAAATAGTAAGACTCCATCTCAAAAAAGAAAAAAAGTCAATTGTACTTTGAAACTGATAAGGTGGTACCTTGAAACTGATGACTGGGCCGGGCGTAGTGGCTCACGCCTATAATCCCAGCACTTTGGGAGGCCAAGGCAGGCATATCAGTTGAGGCCAGGAGTTTGAGATCAGCCTGGCCAACATGGTAAAACCTCATCTCTACTAAAAATGCAAGAATTAGCCAGGCGTGTTGGTGCACACCTGTAATCCCAGCTACGTGGGAGGCTGAGGCATGAGAATCACTTGA